TTGTTTTTGTTTTTCGGCCACGACAAAGACGGACCGACTAATGAAGTACCCGGAGCTCCCTAATAGGCTTCCGGGACGCCAGCCCCACCCGCAGGCCAACTCGGAACGGTCTCTCTCGCACTCATGGGGCGACCCGTGAGGGTGCGAGAGAGACAGCGAATCAGCGTGCCGGGCACTGCCGGCCGCGCGATCCCGGTGTCGCCCACAATCGACTTGGCCGCCCTGGCCGCCCTGGCCCAGGACCTGACAGCGGTAGGCTGGCTTAGCAGTTACTTGTTGGGGCAACTTTAAACAACTGGGTCATCGAAGCGGAACGGCGTTGGGACAGCCTCACGGCCTCACGGCCTCACGCACAGCGTGACAGCGTGACCGCAGACACCATCCAAACACAATTTGTGAAACATTCAACAAATGAATTTGGAAACGCGTAGTCGCTCCCGTACCAAAACCCCCCGCTGCAGCACGAAATCCGAGCGGGGAAGTTGTCCTCGGCAGGGCGAGGGGCGCGGGAGAACGTGGAGGAGGGGGGCGCCTTGCCCGCCTTGCGCCAACAGTTTTGAGATTCGCGCGACAGGCTGATGGTGACGGCTCTGACACATACGGCGGGGGGACGCGGCGTCGGCGGCGCCCTCGTCGAGGTCCTCGTTCTCGTCGTTCGGGAGCCCCAAGTGGTGTGCACATGACTAGCAAGTCGGCATCCCCTTTCCTTCGTCGTCGACGAGCACAAGGCGGGCAAGGCGGGCCGGGCGACCCTCAAGTGCCACTCGCACGAGAAACGGAGCAGCCGCCTGGCACTGGGGGGGAAATCACCTACCAAAGGGGGGTCTTTGCGGCGCCGTCGCCGCCCGCCGCACCTCACCCCGCCCCGCCCCGCCCCGCCCCACCCCGCCCCGCCCCGCCCCGCCACGCCGTGTCGCACAGAAGGTCAATTCCCACAGTGTGATTGGCGCCTAACGAAGCAATGCCAAGCAATGCGCAGCAAGGGTGGGCCCGCAGCGGGGCGGGGCGGTCACCACACTGGGAGGCGTACCGGCGCGTCCGCTTCCTCGACCGGCACCGCCGCCTCGCCGCCGCTGCCCCTCGCGCTGCCCGAACACTTGGAGGGTTCACCTCTCCTCTTCATCATTTTGTTCATTTTCTTAGCGCAGATAAAATACAGAAAACGTTACAAAACAGCGCAGAAGTGACGCACCACACATATGACAACAACAACAACAACAACAACAGCAACGTCGACGACAACAACAGGCATTGTGCAGACGCGGCAGCACGCGGCGAAACGCGACCTCCGGTTTTTGTTCCCGCCTAAACGCCGCGCCCTCCCCTCTCGACGTGCTCGAGACGCAGCGACGCGACCCAGCGCCGCTAAAACCTGGCATTCCGTCGAGTTACGGGGCGGGGCGGGGCGGGGCGGGGCGGGGCGGGGCGGGGCCGCCGGGGGCCCCACCCGCAATAACCCACCACAATAACGCCGTACCTCGGCGTGGTGGTGCTCCACAAAGGTAGCAGGGGGTGTAAGACGCCGCGTCGCGCCCCGCCCCTGCATTGTTAGTGGCGAAGTGAAGCGTTAACTCGGGGCCGCGGCCTCGCAGGGCACTGGCGGGGCTGGGGGCGCTGGCGGCGTGCTCGCTTGGCACGCGTGACAAGAGCGAACCGCGGCTCGGCACAAAGGCTCAAAGCACTGCTGGGCGGGCGGCGCGGCGCGGCGCGGCTCGGTTTGTTAGAAATTAATAGACGAAAAGGCACCAAGTGATGCGCCACCGGGGCGGGGCGGGGCGGGGCGGGGCGTGGCGGGGCGCTTTTATTCCTGCCCTCTTGTTCGCGCGGCGCAGAGGCGTCCTCCGTGTGGTGGAGTGGCGGCGAGGTGAACAGGAGTGTAGTCTCATTCCGAACACTGCTTGGTCGCTTTGTCTCTCTCGCACTCCGACGACGCGGCGCCGCGTGAGTGAGCGAGAGAGAAAGACGAAGGCACTCCTCGGAATGGGTCCGCCGTGGCGGCAGGCCCAAACAAATCGAGGCGGCCGCGCTCAACCCGTCTCGTCCATAAACCACGAGACCAATTAAGGGGAGGGGGAGTTGCTCCACGTGTGTGGTCACGGCGCCGTCACGCCAGCGAGGCAGCGAGGCATAGCGAGGCTCAGTGAAACAAGAAGCCAGCCCCAAAAGGCAGACTTGCCACACGGGGCAAACTGACGAACGCCTCGTGTTGACGAACAAGACTAGTCATTCGTGGCATACGTGATCATGCAAGAATAAAGATGTGAATCCTACTGGCGTGGCCATCGGCGTGGCCATCGCGACGCAGGGTAACCATGGCAACAGCGACCGGGGGTTGTTCCGGAATCGAAAGTCCAAAGAGTGGCGAGGCGAGATGGGCGAAGCACTCGCTCAACATGCAGGTTGGGGGCGGGGGAATCCACGGGTATTCAAAGGAGTATCCATGACCGGAGGGATGCGCACAGTTGTTTTTCTTTTTTTTTTCGTCCGCTTCTCTTTCCCTCTCTTTGTAAATCAGCCCGTTCCTCGTCCGCGGTGCGGCAGGGCCGGGCAGGGCACAGCAGCACCCAGCTGATACACAGGTGTCTGGGGAGGGTGGCGGCCGCGGCGGCACTGTCGAGCCGTTCTCACAGACAACCGCACTGGCAAACAGCGCTTACCGCTGCACGCGGCCGGGGGGGGGGGGGGGGGTGTAGAAAGGTGCACAGCTTGGGCAGAGAGCGGTCCTGTCCCGCCGGCCCAGCCCTGCCCAGCCCTGTGTATCCCCCCTCCATCTTGGCTTTTGTTTCTCGGACCCCTCGAGTATGGTGGCTCGGGGTCTTTATGCCCCGCTCTGCTTTATTGTGTGTGCGACCTGCGAGTCCTATATATACCGCCCCTTCCTTCCATTCAGGTTGCGGACCCGCCGGGGCCGGCCGGGGACGGTCCTTACGGGTTTTCAAATTTCCTGCCCCCCTTCTGGAAAAAAAAGATCGAGTGAAGTGTGCGTTCTTGTTACACTTCACCGTTTGGAAATGATTTTCGGGTGGCACACTGAATTTCGGTTGTTCTTTGACGACTCAGGGAATGTAAAGGACGTCAAGAAGCAAAGAGGTTTGAATATGTCCCTGCTTTTTCCACCCTTCCGTTTGTGGATGATTATTGCATGCGCTCGGAGAGGCCGGCCGGGCGGACGGAGGACGCCGTTGCACTCCACGGCCTGCATAAGGGGCCGGGCCGCCGTCCGCGGAGAGGCGGGTCAAGCCTCGGGTCAAGCGGCGGCACCGAACCGAAGCCGCGCTCAAGACCGAGGCCATCCGGAAGGGAGGCACGCCGGGCACGCTGACTGGGTCGAAGGCATGAATCAGGGATAGCTGCTTGCAGGCCGAGTGCTTTCCGTCGTCGCTCTGTCTCTCTCGCACAGACGGAGCGTTCCACATGCGCCAGAGAGACAGAGAGAGACAACCGTCTCAACCTGTTCCGGCCTCAATTACACCGCGGCCGGCACGGCCACTCAGCCTCGGAATGGAAATCCGTGAAAGGGCTGCCGAGCGCTAAAGCGAGGACGCGACCACGGCACGGTGAAAGCGCGCTAGCGTGCTGGCGAGCATGCACGGAGGACCGTGTATGATGCATGCATGCATGCACACATGCACACACACACACACACACACACACACACACGGCCGAGCAAGCCTCGTATTAGTCCGGTCCGCTCCCTTAACATTTTTTTTGTTGTGCCCAGTGGATACGAAATGCCTTGAAATAAATTTGGGTGGCGGTGCCGCCAGCCCGACCGGCACACCTGACTTTTTAACACGACCATAAAGCGGACCAAACCTTTTGTAGCGCGTGCAGCTGTTTCGCCTTCATTCTACGCCGGGCGGGGCGGGGCGGGGCGGGGCGGGGCGGGGCGGGGCGGGGCGGGGCGGCCCGCCGGGGGTTGTCGTCTGCACAGTTTTCCTCCAACACTGGCTGCGCGGCTTGCGCGGCCCGCGCTGCCTGTGCTGTGCTGCCGCTGCGACAACAATGGGGCCACGCCACTCTACTCGCCACTTCCCCAGGAGCCCCACTGGGGGCCCCGCCTGGCCCCGCCCCGCCCCAGGACCGGCGTGTGCTCTGTGCCGCACCCAGTTTTCTTTTCAGCAGGCCCATTATTTTCTGCTTTTATCTCTTTATTCTGTCCTAGTAATTGTGTATTTTGCGCCATTGGGCTGCCTCGCCTGGGGTCCGCTGCGGAAGTCAATTTGAAGCGGCGGTGCACGGGGGCGAGCGGGCCCCATCCCGCGACGCACTCTGACGAGCGCGCACGCACACACACACACACACACTCTCTCTCTCTCTCTCTCTCTCTCTCTCTCTCTCTCACACACACACACACGAGCAAACACACCTACTCACACACACACACACACACACACACACTCCAATTTGCGGGCCTATCGTCTCGAACGAGAGCTCGTTACTACGGCTTCGTCATGCCGAAGATCACGTACGTCGTCCACTTGTTCCGAGCCAAAATGGCAGGATCGGGTCGTTATCGCTGGTGTAGTCAAGTGCCCGGCTCTTCCTGTTTACGGAAACTCTCTGCTGGTTCTAAAATAGGGGAGGCAAAAAGTCAAACAAAAGAAACCCGCTTAAACAGAACGAGTATTCAGTAATGAGCAGTGTCGCCTCTGTCGATGAAGAAGCCGGCCTTTATTGGGGAATTGGAAACAGAAGCAACATGATTGTCCGTTAGCGGCAACAACGTGTGGGCCGTGGGGCCGTGGGGCTGTGGGGTGCGGGACCCTTCCGAGGCTTCACATTAATGCGTGTCCCTTTGGCGGTGAAGCTCTTAAAGTCCCATAATCACCCACTAGCAGGCAGCCCTCCAGTCGATGCCGAGCCCAGCACGCAGTTCCATGGAGGACATAGGGGTAAGACGGGGCACAAAAGGGACGCCCGCCTTGCGGTACAGATCTCTAAATTCATTAGCGCGGAAAATCCTGAAATATGAATAGGAATGTCTTGGCTGGACTCACCTGTTTCCTCCTCGTCCCACTCCTCGCTCTGCTCGGCGGACCACTCGTTGGTGGCGCTGGCGGAGGCGAGCTGCAGCAGCACCAGCACCACGACGGCCAGGTGCAGGGCCAGGCCTCGGAGGCCCAGGCCTTGGAGGCCGCGGAGGCCCCGGCCTCGGACCATGGTCGCGGCCTAACGACCGGTCATCCCAACTTGCACAACGGCCTCTTCCCAGGGGAAGCCCTCCTTCCTCCCCGCCTCGGCCGAGGCCCTCAGCATCAATGATGGACGATCCGGGACACTTACGGCCCGTTCTAATGACAACCCGACCAGCTGGGCCACTTCCACGAACCGGCCGCCGCGGTGGGAGGAGAGAACTGCCGGGAACCTGCGGGCAGAAGGAGACGGGAAGCATGAGTCGTCACGCAGCGAGGCGGCGGGGATGAGCCACGAAATACAGGCATCTGTCTCGAAAACGGCGTTGTGCATGGGCTGACTTGACCGTTAAGGGGACACCAGTATTTCGCAGCGGGCCACTTCCCTCGTTGGCGCGGCCTGGCGGGAAGGTCCCTCACAGGAGGCCCTGTGCAGTGGGGTGCTCTCCTGGGCAGGTCGGCCGCTCTCGGGCAGCGGTGGCGGCGGCGGCCCCGGAGGAGCCTAAGCCCGTCGCGGAGCACCGCGGCACCGCCAGCCGCCTCCAAGAAGACCCCGCACCCGCACTCCACCAACAACGACCGAACGGTGTACCGGTCGAGTCGGCCCCATCCTCGAGCCACCCTCTCCGATTTGGTCCAGTTTGGGGTCAACATAATGAAACAGGGCTGCCCTGCCGGAGCCCTGCCGTCCCCTGCTACGCCTGCTACCGCCGTCAAAGTTTCGGGAGCGCATCTGGACGGACGGCCGGCGAACTGGCGTGGGGCCATCGCCCGCATCGGCTGGCATCGGCCAATCGGTAATGGCCGCCATGGGCCGCCCCCACCAAGTCCACCAAGTCCACCACCAAGTCCGCGACCGCAGCATGATACACAACCGATCCGGAAAACAAGGCGACACGCTGCACGCTTGGCGAATGGAGGAGTGCTTTTCTTGTTGTTTTTTTGAAAAGCCCGCCGAAATCACGCACAATGGAGTGGAGGCGGCGCGTCATTTGTCCCGGCCGTTGGCGTTGGCATTTCAAATAACGAGAGACTGCAAAGCAGGTTGGGAGCGCCCCCCCCCCCCCAACACACACGCCCACACACACGCACACACACACACACACACACACACACACACACACACGTGCGTGTCACGGTGAAAGCAGCGTGCGGCCGTCCATTGAAGCGCGGATGAAACGAAAGGAATGTTCAAAGTCCCCGGAAATTCGGATTTCGCAGTGTGGCTGCCGCCACGGCTCCCGGTCGACCCCCGTGGCTCCCGTGTTGCGGCGCTGCAAGCAAGCATTCCCCGCCGCACCGCCTGCCTCCCTTTCGCCTCTCTCTTTTTTTCAAACGCCGCAATCCCGTGACCTTTCCTAGGCAGTGGAAATAAATAGAGGCGAGGCTAGAGGTAGACAAACAGTGGATGAAAGGGGAAAACGCGTACAAACTGACGTACTCGTTTGTTTTTTAGTACGCTTGTTTTTGTTCATTTGCTGTTTTTTTTTTCAGCTGGCATACTCTCCCTCAACTCGCACCGAAAAAAAAGAAGGGAAAGAACTTTTTCCGGTACCTTTACCGTTTGGTGACAGGGGAAAAAAAGCGCTGGCCATTTGTATTCGTTTGCAGGTTCACCCGTTTCCTGTTCCGTAATCAATTCGCTGCGCTGCGCCGTGGATAGACACTTGCACGCGCGCGAAAACAAAGCTCGGTCTGACAGTGGTATTTGTATCAGCGGCCCAAAAACACGACAAAGATAGGAACGCCGCCGAGCAGTTTTTGACCCCCTTTTTTACCTGCCTGCTACAACATCCTGTCATCAAGCACGCGATAAAGCGACAGTGTTGGGCACACTTGTTGCGAGCATCGAGTGTGTGTGTGTACGCTTATATTCGTGTTTGATGCCCATGTACGTGTGAGAAGCTGATCCTACATGAGGCTCAAACATTCCTGGCACAATTCCATCCTCGTACACACACACACACACATGCACCCGCGCACGCGCGCGTGCCAACACACACCTACACACACACATGCACGCACACACACACACACACACACACACACACACATCTGCGGATCAGCACTTGCAAGCGACACAGCAGGAATGTGCAAAAACGCTATTCGTTTGAGGGCCTGTTGGCGTGACGTCATCAGCAACTTTGGCCTTCCACCGCCCGCGGACCACGCAATGCGCGCAACGCGCCCACAGCGGCCGCGCCACCGTGTTTCCGCCTGGCTGCCAGCCCCGGCTGCCCGGCCGCGCCGACCGCCCTGGCCGCGCGGGCAGCAGCCGGCCAATCGTTCGCAAAGCAGCAAATAAAAATAGTACTCTGATTGGATGGAATTGCCGCTCCACTGTGAACGACGGTTCAAATGTTCCCCCTGCAGCATTCCGGAGCAATGGTGGGGCCGCGGTCGGGCAGGCACTGCCATAAAAAAACTCAGGAATCCGCCCAGGTATGTTATTCATAACCCCCATTTTCTTTTAATTCTATACATGCAATTCTTTTACTTAATATTTTTCGTTTAGGTCAGTCAAAAATGAGTCGGTTCAGCTGTTTTGTCGGTCTTATGTGGGTAGGCCTAGTAGACCCAGTGCGGTATAAACCAGTCAGTTATCCAGTACAAGCGAAAATGAACTACGGGTTTGATGGCAGTCATCCTTGTCTGACCCAACGCGACGCTGATCTGTGCGGGTGGGTGTGAATGTGTGTGTGTGTGTGGGGGGGGGGGGGGCGTCGCTATGAATTAGTAACGACAGCTCACCGAGCCGCACTTAGAGCCAAAACAGCACATGATTATTCTCAGGCCTCATTCCGCGTTCCCTCGCCCGCGGCCTGGCCCGTAGGCCTGGCCCAGCCTGGCCTAGCCTCGCCCGGTCGGCCCGCTCTATCCATCTGGAAGGAAGAGGAAACGACATTAAATTTTAAGGGCGGCCGTCGTGGCTCGGCGTCCTCGCGGCGTCCTTGCGGTGTGCCCTCACAGGGAATGATTCAAGAATGGATTCCAGGTGATTAATGAAACGGTTTGGAAGGGACATGCGGGAGGGACTCCGCGGCAACACCGTCAAAAAAGGTAGGGATTTTCGATCGAACCAGGTGATGGGGATTCGGTTTCTATAGATTCGTGCGGCAAGTGAATGACAAACCACATGGATTCATTCAGCCGATTGGATCCGAAATTTTCAGTGTAGGTGCTTTGCCGAACGTCTCCCGCGAGGTGCGCCGTCCACGAGACTCGCGACGGAGCCTCTGCCTTGGCTTGGCTGCGACTTGGCCGCCTCGGCACGGCCGGGGCCCGCGGCCCGAGCGGCGGCCCGACGGGCCCGAATATTCGAAAACGGTGCGCGGAATGCACGGCGTGGTTTATGGAGCCTATTATTCAGGCGCCAGAAACGCGACAAGCGGTTTGTCATTCGCCCGATGGATGGACGCAGTGGAGGCAGTGGACGCAGCGTGCACCACACTCATCCGCCTCTTTCAACCCCCGCCTGTTTCCCGTCTGTGAGTGTGTGTGTGCGCGCGTGTGTGTGCTTTCATCAGCTGTCGCGCCGTGCTTTATGGTCGCTATTTATGCTCGGTGCTCGCGGTTCCAATAACGTCCCGCCAAAGCGACTGCATCGGAGCGAGCGAGTCAATACGTAATAAGAGTGGCGTCTGCGTCGCCCCGTCCATGTCGCACTCATGGCACGTCCGGAAAGGGTCAAGGTGAGAGAGAGAGAGAGAGAGAGAGAGAGAGAGAGAGAGAGAGAGAGAGAGAGAGAGAGAGAGAGAGGAGAGGGGAGGGGGGGGGGGTGTAGAATCACTCCGCGCCTCGTCGAGAGGCACGATTAGCGACCAGACGGCTAATGCTTATTCGTCGTGGACCGGGGCATTATCTCTGTGTCGCAGCGAGCCCGCCTGCCTGCCTGCCTGCCCGCCTGCCTGCCTGCCTGCCTGCCTGCCTGCCTGCCTGCCTGCCTGCCTGCCTGGCTGGCGTGGCGGGGCACCATTTTCGGGGCCACCCAGCACCCCGCCCGCCCCACACCGGTCCGGGGCACTGTTTTCTTATCGGGCCAGACGGAAAAAAGGGGGCGGTGCTCGTTGCCTGCCGCTGGAGCCGCTGGAGCTGCTCGCTGCCGGAGTCCTGCTTGAGGCTGAGGCGGCCCAGGCGGCCCGGGCGACCCAGGCGCGCAGAGCGAGTAAAATAAAAGCGGGGAAAAAGCGGGCGCGGCGCGCATTCCGGCGAGGATCTTTCTCCTCTGCTTCTCGTCCCGCGGGAAGAAAGGAAACGGTGCTATTCGTGTTTCGGCGCGCGACGCGCGGGAAAAATATCCCAGGCGCGAGGGGGAGGGGAGGGGGTTTTGAACCACGGCGGGGTGCTGGCCTCACCCTTCGCATGCACTGCTCGTCGCCATCTCCTCCAAACACAGCGACACGTCGCAGGACTCTCTCAACTTACCTCCAAGCACCTTGAGGACGAACTTAGCCTCCCCCCATTCTGGTCAGCCTCCCCCCCACTTCCTTGGGTGGCGCCTGGGCCACCACTTGTTGTTTTTGGTGGGAGCCGCCAAGCCACTAATCCTTTTCCACGCACACACACGGAACACACAAAGACGCGCGCGCGCGCGCGCACACACACACACAGACAGGCACACATACACACAGGCGTGCACACACACACACAGGCACACGCACGGGCACACGCCTCTTCCGGCCTATGTTAACCTCGCAGTTGTTTGGCGGGCGCAAACACGCCGCCGAGTCCGCGACCTAATCGGCGAGGAACGTGCGTGGGTTCGAGTACCGGCACCGGCATTCCCTCTGTTTTTATTCTTTGCGCCACCATCCGGTATATTTTTAGGCCAGCACACTGTAGCTTCCTCTTTTGCGATTAACGTCCGTTGGATTGGGACATCCGGGCAAAGCTGTGGTCCCTGACGAACGGAACTATTAGCCTCCTTCCAGAATTTCACTCGATTTTTGTTTTCGTTTTTATTGGAAACCTCATTTCTGATCCAACCGGAATAAACTATGTAGGACCAAGACGCCACCTTTGATATTGAGCATTTTGACGAGCGGGGCGGGGCGGGGCGTGCCAGTGCGTACCAGGGTGCGGCGAGCGTAGCCGCGCCGCGGAGGCCGCGCCATAAACTTCCGACTGGCCTTTCGGACGGCGCGGCACGACACGGCACGACACGACACGGCACGGCGGGTCCTGCGTCTTGATACTGTTATTCGCTCCTTACATAACTCATCATTTATTGGCC